TATTTCTCTAAATTACCCTTATATGGAATGTGGGCGTGGTTATTGTCCGACTTTTTAAATTTTCGGCCATTTGGTATGCTGTACCAAAGCCAACAACTGTGCCAAGTTTGGAAGAAATCGGTGCAGCGGTTGCCAAGATATACACATGTAACCAAAAGTGGTCGTGGCCACGCCCATTTTTCAAAAATTTATAATTTTCTTATTTTTCGTCTGAAAATTATTGTAAATATCAATTTTGAGTGAATAATCTTCATTGCCCATTTTCAATACCATTCGTCCTACGCCCGAAAGAAGTACACGTACCAAGTTTTGTTAAGATATCTTAATTTTTACTCGAGTTATCGTGTGCACAGACGGACGGACAGACGGACGGACAGACGGACGGACGGACAGACAGTCACCGCTTAATCGATTTCTCTTTTCATTCTGATCATTTATGTATACATTTGTCTATATCTATCTCGATTCGTTTTGCCTGTTACAAACAACCGTTATGTGAACAAAGTTATAATACCCTTGTGCACAAGTGCGCTCGGGTATAAAAAGATAAATTAAAGAGTAGGAAAAGTAAAGGCCGCCGAAGGCCGTTAAAAAACCACTTGCATATTATTCTTTACACCTTCGCAAATGCAGAGGGTAAGTTTGATAACCAAGTCTAACCAATTGGCTTAGATATTTACATTTTAGTGACAGTATGTCAAATCTCAAAATTCAAAAGTAATTATTAACAGGAATGTATCTGAATATAAATATAAGATCAGTGGCGGATCCACCGGGAAGAGGGAGGGGGGGAGTTGGTTGTGTGTTAAAACAGAAAAATACTTGGAGTTATAAAAACTTTGGTTATGTAAGAGTTAAAACAATAGTAACTCGCGAATTTTCTGCTTCCTGAAATTAAAAAATTATACAACAGGCATGCAAATCTTTAAGCGCTGTTATAAATTTTTTTCTGAAATTTATTTGTGTTTCTAGCTGTGATCTTAAACTTTAGTTATGGTAAAGAAAATCTGAAGAAGTGAGTTGTTTGACATTTGGAGAAGTGTTGCTGAAACTTTTAAAAGACAACAAGGTGTCCGTGATTATGTGACTAGTAAATTGAAAGAAATATCTGATGAAAATGCTCGTTCCGAAGTAAATTAAATAAATGACTTTAGATTCGTAATCAGCAACCCAGAAAACCCCCAGATACCCAGTTACCTAGAAATCTACCGTATTTTTTTTAATTTTCGTCCGCCATATTGGATCCGCCATTTTAAATTTTTGGTAAATGACTTTAGATATGTAATCAGCGACCCAGAAGACCACCAGATACCCAGTTTCATAGAAATCTACCGATTTTTTTAATTTTCGTCCGCCATATTGGAGCCGCCATTTTGAAATTTTGATAAGTGACTTCAGATTCGTAATCAGCGACCCAAAAATCCCCTAGGTAAGAAGTGGTGTAAAGATCCATCAACGAGTATTTGTTTAATAGTTTCGTCCAGCTAGATTTGCGATCCGAACTACTGTGCGATGTAAAGTAAAAGTACCAAATTAAAAAAAAACCTTATTCCCACAAATTATATTTTTTATTAATAAGGCCAAAAAAATTATCATAATAAAAATGGTTTACTATCCAAATGAATGACTTTTATTTATGCTTAGATAACGTAACGACTTCACCAGAGCGACGTCGTAACGATGTCGTTTCGAGTTCACCCAAACGACTTCACCTGGGCGACGTCGTAACGGCTTCACCAAAGCGACGTCGTAACGACGTCATTTCCAGTTCACCAAAACGACTTCGCCAGAGCGACGTCGTTTTCGCCCTGTGGCAAATTGGGATATTATTTATAAAAATCATTGTTTTGCCTTTCATTTCATAAATGATTAGGACATTATCATTTTCACATGAATATTCCTAGTTTAGTCCCCATACATATGTATGTATGCAGTATGATAAAAACTACTATTTGGGGTGTTAAACAGTATTTGATAATTAGGGCTGATCCACATAAAACTTTCGCGTTGACTTTGTAGTTGGCGTTGGTTTGACAGATCGCACGTTAAAAGTATGCGTTCTACAATGAAGCTTGGCAGAGACTAAATTAACATATTAACGAGAGATAAATTAATATTTCATATCAATAATTGCACGAAAAATTATAGTTCTTGCCCTCATTTGATTAAAAGGAAAAAACATGTCATATAATTTTATTTATTTGC